ATATTGTTCACATATTATAATCAGTTTTGAAAATTACTGTATTTTTTCTGTAGAAAGTAAAAAAAGTACCAACTCACCTGTTTTCATAATGCAATGTGCAAAATAAAAGAAAAAAATTGTAAACAAAAGCCTTGTCATCTTAAGCATTACGACTTCTTAATACCTATTTCATTCTAAAAGGCAATGATAGGAGAATAAACAGCATTTCGCACCTCAGCACAGACAGGCTTACACATCCCAGGGAAATTCTACAAACTGGCCTAAACAGAATTTGCTTTAAAATTTAACATTGTACCCAACAACCGCATCCTGCATTTGCTGAATTTTAGTAATACCAAACAGCAGATTTAATAACAGCTCATGGTCAACGCTAGTTTTAAAAGACCAAAGCATCACCTGCCTTTCAGTTAAATTTTAGAAGGAAAAAAAATAAATCTGTGTTAACTGACTGCTACAAATTCCATTAAAAAAATTTGCAAAAAGCCATTCTGTTTTTTTGCCTCCAGACAGATGAACTAAACGGGACGCATTACCTATTCTTAGCTCTGCATTAGTATTCCAATTGTGTGATTAAAATCAGAGCACAAAACATTTTCCTCTTCAAGCCATTTAGTCTGCTTATGGACTAATATCCTACTGATTTAGAATAACTACGTAGATATGTTTATTACTTTTACTCTGTAATATTATTTTCTTGTACCATTTCTTTGGGAGATGGAAGAAGATATTTGAAAGCGGTTCAAAAAACGAAATTTAATTGCCTCCAATTTGTGACTTTAGATATAAGTTGCGCAGGAAAAACAAATCCTATTTTGAGAAAAGGTCGAGATAGAAGAATGATGGAAATGTTTCCATCTCCCAACAATTACTGCAGAAGACAAAACGCGACACTATCATGAGGCTGTCAAAAAGCAGATTGTAGAAGCACACCGAAATCTGCATCTGGACAGATACTGCGTGTATCTGCAGAGAAACATTCTGCCCCTCTAACATTCCTAGTTACGTTTCCCCAGCACACAGGGCCCCTTCCCTCAGCTCTACGAATAGGCACTGCTGGCTGCTCCAATAAACCTCGAGGAATGAGGATTCAGAGCTTAGTTTGCAGGACAAACCAAGGGCCACTGTAGAGTCTCATGGCAGATTATTTTTTTTCCTAACGATAGTAATTAGTTTTCTTAAGTAGATATTAGCCTACTTTTTAAGAAAAATGGCTGAAAGACATGTATAGTTATCAATTGACAAGAGAATATTTTAATAACTTTATGTGCTCCTGACCTAGAAATACAAACCACATATACATCTTTTTCAGATTATTATCTCTGATAAAAGTAGCACAATTAATCCAGAACGATAGAACACTATACTCACACTCATTTTATAAGAATGGTCAAGATCTGAGCTTTTAAATGGAATAGATTATGCACAGTGAAACTCATTCTCTATTCATCAGAGAAAAAGTATGATAAAAACTGAAAACTGATGACTATTTACTCAAGAACCTGTGTTTGTTCTTTGTTTTGGTGTTATTCTATTCCCGTTAATAAAGCCCAAAGTGATGGTGCAGAATCAGTTGAGTAGTGGTTTGTATTTGATAATTAAACCTTTTCAGCATGAGAAAGCAATAAACATCAAGGTCCAATGGAGAAACAAAGTGCCAGTACTTTTCCAAATCCTTTGTGAGAATTAATTTCTCATAGCAGAGGAAAGCACTTAGAAAATTTAACTTCTTAAAAACAAAACAAAAAAACCCACTGATTTCAGCATTAAGTGATTTTCTGTTAGAGACTGGGTAATTTTTAACACACACTATCAGAAACCTCTGCTAATAAACTGTAAAGGAACACTACAGACTATTCTTTACTCCCAACAAAGTCAGGCTACAAGATGCCATGATCCAGCACAACCCGGTGTTGGGGGCGGCATGTCCAAACCAGCACAGGCGATTCAGGCATCTGATATTCTTTGGACGATCCAAACATTTAGAAAGTGAAGCAACTGACTTTCTTCAGGACTTGTAAAACTTGTACTTTGATTTTTAAGAAATATAGACTAGGAATAAAAATTTAAGAAAACCCCAAACTACTGTTGTGCTTACTTTTACACTTTAGCAAGGCTCAGAGTAAGCCTTGCTGCACGTTTAGAATCATAGAATGGTTTGGGTTGGAAGGGACCTCAAAGATCACCCAGTTCCAACCCCCCTGCCATGGGCAGGGACACCCTCCACTACACCAGGTCGCCCAAAGCCTCATCCAACCTGGCCTTGAACACTGCCAGGGATGGGGCATCCACAACTTCTCTGGGCAACCTGTGCCAGTGCCTCACCACCCTCAATGTAAAGAATATCTTTCTTATATCTAACCTAAATCTGCCCTCTTTCAGTTTAAATCCATTGCCCCTTGTCCTATCACTACACACCCTTGTAAAAAGTCCCTCTCCAGCTTTCCTGTAGGCCCCCTTTAGGTCAGATGTCCAAGAGTTGTGACCATAAGAGCATCTATGTTTTTCTCCTAAAGCCTCTAGGCAGCCAGATCTCGTCATAATCCCGACACTGCTGGCTATCCCACCGCCTGCCAAGAGGTTTAACTTGTTCTTACCCCCGTGTCTGAAGGTCTGTCTCAAATCACGTGATTGCACACGTACACTCAGCCACACGGACATCACCAGCCACGGGATTAATTAAGGTTATTTGCACGAGCACCAAGCCACACACAGCAGATGCAGAGCTGAGCACATTTTTCATCTTGTTGGAGGACTACGCAGTTCTGCAGCTGAAGATTATGTGCTTATGAAGCATCTCTGCTAAAGGCTTAACTGCAGGAATGACTACTAGCCACCACCATCAAGAAGCACATCCTGTGCTGTAGGTAACACAAACCATTACCTAGATTTTAGATTTACTACCTTGCCTCAGGCTTAGCTCATCAGAGAGCTCCCTAAATTATTTCTAGCTATTATTCCAAAATAATTTTTAAATCCATCACAGCCCCTTCTCAAAAGCAAAAAAAAAGCAGCAATCTTTGAGGCCAGCCACATTAACGAAACCACAGAGTCCATTTTCAGCTACAGAATATACAATTTCCTCCTTTCATTATACTAAGTGTTCTCTGAAGGTGAGCTTTCACAGTACTTCTGAGCTGTTTAATGACTCACTTGCTAAAAGAGATGGCCTCAAACTCCCCGTTTTAGCATACCAGTTCTCCAATGCATTGCCTCTTCCACTTTTGTGCTACTGGTCCAGAACTGTATTATATGAACTAGTTAGTGAGGTGCATGTGCCAATGACCCCAAAGAATCACTTTGGGTACCAATTATAGCCAGTCATTACCTCTCAGCTGCTGCACAAGTCAGATCTTTCTAGAATTGCACACTTTCTAGATCTGCTACAGGCCCTTGCAAGCATCCAATCTTCTTTTGCTCCACTATCACACTTGTTCTCTCCTCTGTGCACTTCAGTTTCAGCCTAGGGAGCAGAAAAACTGTTGGAAAAAGTAAGCATTATTTTCATTTCATATGTCAGCATGGAAACTCTCAACAACTATAGTACCTTAAATGGAAGGCCAACATACCTCCACCACCCACCAGTGTGATGTGCAACTGTTTAAAGTGAGTCAATATATGACTAGATGCTTTTTAGAGAGGGAATACAATACGTGCCATGTCAGAAAAATTATAAACAAGACTGAAAGTTTAAGAAAAAAACATTACTTCTCCAGAATGAGACTGTAGCCACTTTCACCTGCAGGGCTAACGACTGAAGTACAACCAGTCTGAAAGCTTAGTGGAAGCATTGTACCAACAGGAAACGAAAATAAGCAACGGGTACAGCAGTCCAGAGTTGTTCCAGGCATATCTATAGGGCTAACTAGATTCCACCTCCAGAAATGCTATTGATGGATCTGTCTAGGGTGCCAGGAAGCCAAGATTTCCACCTCGGGACAGCTGTCAACAGCAAGTAAAAACCATGCAATCTTTACGCTTAAACACATACATGCTACTAATCCAGTCTACTCAGCCATACTTAGGTTGTTCACTATATAGAGGCATTTTTATTAACACACTGAAGCAATAGTGAAAGAAAATCAGTTTGTTTGTCTTATGTTAAAGTTCAAAAGACACAGGAGCATGGATTAGACTAAAAGATTTTATTGAAACTTGTCCAAAATCCAGTCAGGCACACAATTTATCCATTCCACTAAGGTTTGTCATTCTGTATGGCATAGAAAAATGCATTTCAACAAGCTGAAACATCAAACAACTGAATTAGTGAAGTTAAGGCACTTGAGATGTGTGTTAATTTAGCAAAATTGCATAAGAATAATATTTTACTTTCAATGACATAGTCCTTTCTGAGATTCAATCTAAAGTGTCCAAATTCTGTAACCCCTTGAGACAGGGGAGAGGCAGAAGCAGGAGACAAAGAATCATCATGTTTTCCTGACTAGAAACCTCGAAGGCCACCACAGCCTACGGAAGGAAGTATTACTGAATCAGGCTGCAAAGATTTCCTGTAGAACAGGTGCTGAACTACGCAACAGTTTGGGTTGAGGCACAACGTCTTCCACTCAAAAATCCTTAAGGCAAAGTATCTTTGTGAGATGAGAGAACAAAAAAAGAGCAAAAAGCACGTGCATTCAATTGTCAGGCAAAAAAAAAAAAATCTTTCCTGGGGTAACAACATTTATCCTGGGATTAGATATCTCTGCCAACTCCGATATCCTCCCCAAGGATAAAAACTTGAGAGAAAATAAATAGAAAATGCAAGAACTTACATAGTGATCAAAATCTGATACCTGTTGGTTTGTCAGGGCCCTGAGCAGTAGCTGGAAAACCAGTTAGCAACCTTTAATCCGTGCTACAGATAGCTAGTTTTGGGTTGTATTTTCCAGAGTGTGAGTGTTGGTCATTATATTTTTTTCGGCTCTGCACCAATGTTTAAATGTTGCAATTTCAGCATTTGGCAAAGAAAGTTTTTAGTGACTATTTGAACCAATGACTCAGTTCTACCTGGTGAAAATTCTCCCTTCTTCTGCGAAACAATCTCTTGCATCACACAGCAGTTAAGTACTCTTCTCAAAAAATGAGATACAGCTCTAGGATATGCACATTCCACACTGGAATTTGGTGTATGGTCCAAGGGTCGCACACAGACTGAAGGAAAAGATTTCCAGGTACATGAAGAAGTTTTCTCAACCATGAAAAGGCATGACAGAGAACCTATTGTCACATCACCTGCTATGCACAAACAGGAAATAAAGTGATAAATATTCGAGGGGAAAAAGAAATATATGGAAAATAGATTATCCAGTTGAATTTAAAGTACTGTTTCTAGTTAGTCTACAGAAATGTAGTTCTAAGCATTAAGTTCTGAATTTCACTAGAAGTAGAGTTGTTTAAGAAGATGTAAAGCTTATGAAAAAGAGATTGCATCTTAATACTCTGTGTCCTTCAGAGCAAATTGCTTCTTATACTTAAGGCACTACACGTCGTCTTTGGTTCAGTGTTTCACTATCTCATTCAGTGTAAGAGGTAGCACGAACCACACATATTCAGCTCTTCCATTCCATTACACACAACTTCAGAGTCGCCACCTTTCTGATGTTACAGATTCTGGAATCCTTTAACTCATTAGGAAACTGCAGGAACAAAATAACAAGCATTTTCATTAATTTTGTAAGAAACAAAGGTGTGCAACATTCCACTTAGCTTTCATATATGCAGAGAAAAATCAGAATTTGCTTAAAAGCGAGTCTTCCAGTAACTCTAAAGCCAAGAAAACCATATCTTATCTATAACAAAGTTAGAAGAAGTACATAAGAGCATAGCAGAGACCAGAATAGAAGCTGACCAGTTATCAAACAGGAAATAAGTCCAGCTCTCTTCTGGTCTTGAGAAAAGCCTTTATGAAATAACAGTTTTATTATTGAGATATTTAAAAAATAAGAACTGACTTCTTATAGAAAGGGGATATTTGCCTACGGGAAATTATATTCTACATTAAACTCTATGCAGAAACTGAGGTGGTTCGAAGCTGGTCCCTCAACACGTATTTATTCCTTCAAAATGTAAACAACCTAGTAAAAACACAAAAGATATGTATACTGATTGTGTATATATATATACTATATATATAAAGCAGTCTATTAATAGTGTTAAGACTCTTTACAGAAGCAATCCCAAAACGTATGCAGCTCTAAAACATCAGCCATCCTCCTTGTTCTCACAAATAACAATCAATAATCAAGATGTATGAACATGGAGGAAGAGAGAAGTAGAAAGAGATACACTTGTTTTCCATATAAATTGGCTGAGATATCACTAAGAAAATAGAAATATTTTATAGCACGTAATGGCACGAAAAGGAGATTATCACAATTTTTCTTTTGGCCAGCCTGAAAAATTGTAATACCCACCAAATACCGTTATTTCTGGTGATTATATTGACCAATATCACCACTCCTTGAGAAGCAAGTGGAGCATTTTTAAAAGAGTTAATTTCCCACCAAATTATATTTCAGAAAATGGGTTCTTTGCCTATTTCTCTGTTCTGATTTATATTAGTATTACCAGACAAGGAAATACCAGTCATCAAAACCAGATTAATTCCTGATCATACAGTCCAGATAAAAAAACCCCAAACTTCTAGTACCACTTTCAATCTTTAAGCACTGGTTTGTGTTTACCCAGTTCCTTCGAAACACTCTACGGTGTTGTAGCTGTGTTGCAATGCACAGGAAAACAATGAAGGAGCAGAAGAGACGTACCTGTATGGGTAGCCATGGTACTTGGATCTGAAGACAGACAACAACCAGCTGAAGAACACCACCACCAAGCCAATACCAGCAATACACATGACTGCAAGAGATGCAGAATAAGGTTGTGGTAATGTGACAGCTGCCCCCACAAACACCACAGTGACTGGGGTTTTCAAAACCATTCTGTAACGTTTACAGATTTGGTGAGATGAGACCTCTATTAGAGTCACTCAGAAGAATTAGATTAACATAAATTTTCTTTCAAATTGCTACTGTGAATCAGTTTTATAACTGCAATAACAGAAAGCAAGTCCCTTCTTCTCTCCTTTACTTGCAAAATGCTGCAAAGTATCTTTGTATCCCCCCTTCTCCCAAAAAGGCTTTGAGTTTATCTTGCAGTTTGCTAAGCAATATCAAATGCTGCTGAAAACCCAAATTACTCACTTGTTCTTAGAGGTGGGAAGTGTACAAAAACTCACAGTGCAGAAGCATTTCTATTAAATAGTGTTATCAAAAATCTTTACTGAATATGCCTTCTCTTAGAGAGAAAAGTGTTAGTACTTACTTTTTCTCTTCCCCACGTCCATGTCAGAAGTAGCAGCTTCGTGGAGGAGCACCATTCCTAAAGTAACACCACCATCTACAAACATTGCTTAAGGCTAAATCAACAAAACACAATAGACTTAATATAATACACTCAATTCCTAATCCCTTAAATTCAGCTCCCACTCCAAACCTGGGCATCAAAACCTACCAGAGAGATTAAAGACCTCCCAGCCAAAGCAGCAACTATGGAGGCAAAAAAGCAACTCAAAGGCATTCATAATGACAACTTTTAAGAGAAAATAAATACAAATTTTAAAATAAAAATTGGAAGGTGTAGTAGGTCTTGACGCAAAATTAAACCCATGCATTTATTATCTCAGCTTGTAATGAAATATCATTCCTTTGCGGAGAGCTCAGTCCACTCCTACTACTGTTCTACTCCACCGGAAAATCCCAAAAGGAATTCAACTTCTGCATTTTACTCAGCTAACAGAATGAATAAAACATATGCAATATTTAATCCAACAGGATATCTTTCAAGCAGCAATATTTCAGTCTTTATTCAAGTAAAAAAAATAACGCTTGTAAAGTTAAGAAAGCACAGACGACTTAAAACACCTGACATCTGCAAAGAATGCATCCTAGCAAAGCAAAATAGTGGATCCAGTGGAACAAAATACAGAATTCCCAAAGATTTCATTCCATTTCACTACAGATGTTCAGTCCTACTCCTCCTCCTGAAATAAGAGTTACTTAACACTGACTGCAAAGGCACTGCTAAGAAATGTTCCCATTCCAGATGCGGTCTGCCTTCAGCATAACAGAAAAGTGACTTCAATCTACAGGAACCTTGCCAACTTCTACCGTTTCAAATGTCTCCAGCAACTGGTAGATGGGGTCCAGAATGTGATGAATAGCAGTAACACAAACATCAACAAAAAGTTTCTAGGTTGAATTTGACTGAGCGCATGAAAAGTACAGTAATAGTTACAAAAAGATCAGAAGTGCCCCTCCAAAGGGATTCTTTAAGTTAAAAAATATGTATATTTGATAATGAATACACAGCAAGAATAGAGTTCTATAGAGTTCTCTATAGAGTTTGAATGAAGTTTTAAAATTATGTGCCTGTAGGAAGTCTGCTATTCTGTACACTCGTGTACTGTAAAAAGTAAGCAATTTGGGACTGTGAAACTGCAAGAAAAAAGGTAATATCAAATAAAATAAAAATCCTGAATAAAAGATAGAAGAATGCAGAGACTGACACAGGTGACGAGACAAGGAAGAAAAAGGTTTGAGTCAGATGACTGAAGTTACAGATGACGGATCCAAAACATACATGTGGGAACAGAGGAAGAGAACATTGAATTTTAGAGTGTTCTATGACTCCAAAGAAACATTTTTATACAAATGAGAAAGGCAAAAACTCTCAAACTGAAAGTTTCCACTTGCCTTTCTTGATGGCATCACACTGGCAGGGAAAAATCCTGAATCATTAGCGTGAACGAGTGGTAAGATTAAAAGCAAAGAAAGTAAGCAGAGAAATAAAAGAAGATCAGTAACAGAGGAAGGAATTCAACACCAAAGCAAGAACTAAGTCAGTGAGATTGAAAAGGTAAGAGACTTGCACAGAGGAACAGACACTATCCTGAAGAACCTTATGATTCCACAAAGATCTGCATCTTCCACACTGCATTCAGTTCAGTCCTTAAGCCAGGAAGGAGGCAGTGAGAAAGCAGTAACATTTTTCTCCTCGACTTAAAGATCACTGACAGAGGAAAAGCATAGTTGGCAGCACGGAAAGGCTCTACAAGCTTCTGCATCGGCATCAGGTGACGGTTACGAGCCGTGGCAAAGTACTCTAAAGGAAAAGGCAGCAGCACAATAACAGACAAATCATCACCAACCGCATGCTTCTCAGAAGGAAGGATACTAAAGAGAAGAACAATGTGTGTTTCTGCCACAAATTGGGCTTGGCTGCTCCCATGGATGTAGTTCTGTAAGAGACAAAGGGTAATTGAATTTAGAAAAGACTGGAGTCAACTTTGGCACAATTAACAACAGCTGTAGAGCTTGGAAGTGGGTTTTGCAGTTCTCTCTCTCAGGAGACGAAGCAGAAGCTGGAGCACAAACCATTTCATCTGTTGAGCATTGATTTTTGGGGGGGAGCTGTGTCAGCATCAAAAATCCTTCTTCTCTCACGCACAATCAGCCCAAAGCATCATTCAGATTACAGTAAGTACAAGAGCAGCTACGACCTTCATGGTCCAGATCCCCTTTTTTTGACAAAACACCAAATTATGCCCTCCTGCACCTACTGTGATCCCAGTCTGATCCATTCCCTGACTCAGATTCTCAGGTTACGTACACTGCTCCTCAGCTTAGGGACAGGCTCTTCAATCTGCGTGTGAACTCTACTCACTTGGCTCCAGAAACAAGCATTTGAAATTCTTCCATGGTGTACCAGGAAAAGGAACATCACTACCAATACCATTGAAGCTTTATTCTTCAGTCTCAAAAGGGCTTAGGAATGATGTAAACAGAAGAAACAAATTTTAATGAACAAATGTTTTCGTGAAAACATTTAAAATACGAGAACTTCCACTCAGTAAGTTGGTTCAGTTTCATTTACATTAATAGTTCACTAACCAACTGGGTTAACTAGAAATATGAAATCTGTGAAAGAATACCAGTTTTTAATCTCTTATGGGAAGCTCTACATCACTATGGTTGTGATGTTATACCTAAGTAGGAAAAAAAACGTTTGATAAGCAGATCCACTTTTTACAGAAGAATACAGAGGGCTTGACCCACCTAACCAGGCATGAAAGGACATTTCACCAAATTAATTCCCTTCTGAGTAAAATACACCATGTGATGTGTAAAATACACCACGTGACGTGTGTAAGCACCTGAAGAGATGCAATGCTGTCCATATATTCTAACTACTTCTACAGTGTATCTCGTTCTGTATTATGTACAGAGCAGTGTATTTCAAGTGATGTTAAAACTGATTTTTCCCCAAGAGCATGTACAACTCTATAATAAACACCTTTATTTTGCCTGAAGAGATGCAATGCTGTCCATATATTCTGACTACTTCTACAGTGTATCTCGTTCTGTATTATGTACAGAGCAGTGTATTTCAAGTGATGTTAAAACTGATTTTTCCCCAAGAGCATGTACAACTCTATAATAAACACCTTTATTTTGCTGTCAGCAATTTAGAACTGTCACATCTCCTCATCACTAGAGATACAATATAGGTAAAAGACAGAGGAAAGCAAAGGTCACAGCTAAATAAACACTGAAAGGAAAACATGAAAACAAATAGGAATGGTTAAAAAAGGCACAGGAGGTCAGAGAGATGGAGGAAATCAGGTAATTTAAAATAACCTACCCTCAGAACCCAAGCAAAAAAGCATTGTCATTATGCTTCCTCACTTCTTTTACATTTTGGAGAGATGGGGAACAGGAAGGATGAAATAAGCACTTACCTTAAGTTCTGCAGCAAGGGGGAACCCCCCATCCAAATAACTTGTTAGCAAATAGTTTTGGTTACTGTGGATGCTGTGCTCTTGACCCCAGAGCATTATTTTAGTACCTTCTCAGCTTTCTGGGATTACTAGAATGATCAGTTTCTGCACAAAAAACTCTCTAGGTGTTAACACAACAAAAATACACTCCAAGGTAACGCTTTTGAACTGCTACATCCCGTTTAGCGAAGAGCACCATCCACATAACTGCTAACACTTTGTTGCATGGAAAGCACTTGGAGTAGTTTCTAACAAGAAACTGAACATGCTGCTAGATAGCAAATTAATATTTCTCATCTGATTAAGAATTGTATTTCTTATTCTATCTCTTAAGAGCTTATTACTGAGCACAGAAAGCAATACACCTAAAAAAAAAATCCCTAAGCAGCACTTGTTCTTACTCTTAGGGCATCAGAGAACCAATACCACCATTCTTCCAGAATTAATGACTCATTGAACAAAAGACTTTCCTATCAAAATGGAATTCCAGTTAATTGTGGAGGTTATCACGCAGCAATTATACAACACACCACTCCGTTTTGGATTAAGATTAGTATTTTGTGATTTCTTCATAGTAGAGTAGAAGTTTGCAAACAGAGTTTCTTCTTCTAGTTGAGCCAAGAAGAGGATAAAGCTAATTGGAAGAAAATCTGAATCTTGACTGGAGCTCTAACACTCCTTCTGTTCCACACAAAACAACACTCCTCTTTTACAGGCACACTTTAAGAGAAGACAGATCCTCTCTGAACTAATCAGCAGCCTCTAATTTGCCTTCCTCACTGCAGGAGATGTTAGCCTCACTGACTTACAAAGAAGCCAAGAATAATTTGCATTCTGACTTGCCTCTTTTAGTATCAGCCTTATTCTGCAGAAATACAACAGAAATGCAGAAAAGAAAACAGAGAAAAGACTTACAACTTGTCCCGTATGGGGATTCTTATGAGCATAGGGTGGACCTCTTATGTGGTTCCACATCTGGCCTGATGTCATTGCTAACACAAAACACTGAAAAGGTAAGAAGAAACACTATTTAGTACGGATTTTACGGATTTTTTTTTCCCAATTTGTTTTCATTAAAAGGAAAGAAGAAACGCTACTTAGTACAGATTTTTTTTTTTTCCCAATTTGTTTTCATTAAAAGGAAAGAAGGAACACTATTTAGTACAGACTTTTTTTTCCCAATTTGTTTTCATTTCATACCAAAAGCACTGGTTTGGAATACAGTCTTAGGCTTGGCATTGTCCTACTTTTTATTTGTATAAATGGCATTTAATCAAGCATTAACTGAGCTGAAAAGACCAAGATCAAACAATATTATCAGACTACCAAAAAGTAACACTAAATGCACTTCATTTTCCTCTACCAGGTTTAAGTATCTTTAAATATAAAAAGCTTCTGAAGACTTGAATTGCTACGAAACTCCTGACAACAGGCAGACAAGAGTTATAATCACTCACCAAAGCAGCAAATGCCCAGCCAGTTTTGTTATACAGAAAATCCAGATTGCTCCCACGCAAATATACGAGGCCTCCAACGACAGCCAGCAGCAGTCCTAACATCAACGGTCCAGCGTAGTTCGGTGGCCTTATCACACGAATCTAAACAGAGGATATTCAAATTATTTTCCCTCAATGGGATTATACATTATACCCACACTCCTGTTACCAAAACCCACAGTATATTAGCTTGGAAAACAGTATCAATGCACATACAAAAGCTTTCTGTACAATAAATCTGACTAGGGAGCTAAATAATGCTTCTGCCCTGCTACTGGAACTTCAGTTTTATGCACCTTTTCTCTATCTAATCATTTAAAGACCGTTTTTCTTCCACAGGAATACGAGAGGGAGAAGGAAGGAGGTCAGTTTTATCATCTTATCAAACACAGAATTAAACAAAACATCAGACACAGAACATAAGGAAACTGAAAAGATGCAGTCGTGTGCCCAAACTGGATTTTGTAGAGGACCATTTGGAGTATCTGAGATCAGATCACGAGCCACAGAACACAACTGGCACACTTTGTAGCTGGCATTAGGCACTAAGGGAGTGCTGCAGAGGTGGTGGTGGCAGGGAAAGCGTGTACATACTTACGTTGACATCAGTTCTGTCAGCCACCCAACGAGCGAGCTGCTCAGCTGCAAAGCCGCGCACCTGAAGCTCGTACGTGTCGCCCCGTTTGGGCTTCCCTTTAGCAGGGAAGTTGATGAAGGTTGGAGCAGAATTCATGTTTAGCTGTATTTGGAAAATTCAGAGAAGATACAGCACCGTGAAAAGTCTACTCAGTAACACACAGTTCTATTCCATTTCTACCTTGCAACAGCATCACTAAATCAATCAGAAAAAAGTAACTATTCAATAAATAGATTTCATTGACGATGACCTAAAAAAAGTAAAGAAAGCACACAGTAGCTTGTATTTCTGTATTTCATGTAAGTAAGCAATATACTCCTGTAACTTCCCTGTTGTGTTCCATGCTGTTTTCTCCTTTTAGTGCGGAGAAACAAAATTTTTTTAGCTCTGTCAATAGCTCTTCTGGATGTCTCAGAAAAAAATTGCTACTTCCAAGTAGACTGTTTTTTTAAAACACAATTGAGCACGTTTTCTAAAGCGACTGACATTTCTTTGTTAGTACCCAGATCTATACCCACTGATTCAAAAGATTCAGACTGGTTAAGAGGAGGTTATAACAGGTATATACAAGTAGTTGTCTATAAAATACAGATCTATCTTTTTCTAACACTGTTTTTCCCCTAGCATTATCAGTTTCTTGATTATAAACACTACTTCTGGGAGAAAAGTCTGCAAGACAGGGATATATACAGTAACCTATAAAGGCCATAGCTTGATGAATGAATTTTTGATGTAACACTATGGGAAAATTGAACAAGAATAATAAAAGACATCTCTTTTCACTTCTCCAGTTCAAAAGCTTCCATTTAATAAAACATCAGTCTAAATTTTGTAGCTTTTAAATAGACATGAGTATCTCTTAAAAAAAGTTAAGACTTGCAAAACTATAATGAACTATTAATTTGATCTACAACTGCAAGCACACATGCAATGTTCTCATTCATTCAAAAAAAAAAGCCAAACAGTTACATAATGTTAGTAGAAGAGCAAAATGCCTGCGTACTTGAACAGAAATAAGTTAACCAACACTGAAAGCCTAATCTATCATTCTATAGTAATCTAGAAATTCTAATAGCTGTTCCTAACAACATCCTTGCTTTCTATCTTACCTCTTCATGTACTATAGAAGAATTACATCAAAAATTACACTGCAAGTTATTAGAGGAGACAAACTCAGAAAAGAAGCCAGGTCACTCCTGCCTATGCCAGATTTGTCAGTTCTGTTAATGTTACTGCCAACATGCTACTGCCCTCTGTTCTTCTCATTTCTTCTGAGAATGGCAGCTTGCAACTTTTCAATTATTTCTTTAATCATTGCAACACAAAATTTTATACACATCTTTACCTTCTTGCCCCCAGTCTCCAACACTCGAGTTCAAAACAATGTCAAAAGATAAAAAGAAAGACATTACCATCTGAAATACATCCGAGCCTTCATCAAAATCTACCATAGCGAAAAAAATCTTATTGGTAAATGCACTGGAATATCGCCAGGAGTTTGCCAGAATCTGGTATTCCTCATCAGCTTGCCTGTAAAACACACAAAGTGAGATGCTGTATCGTGTGTTTGTCCAGCACACAAGTTACAAAACAGCTGAGGGAGCTGCAGCCACCCACCCCATTAATGGGTGCATCTCACACACCCCTAAATTAATTTTCTAGTCTTAAAGGCTAGACACTCCTCTAACAATCGCACACCCCTAAATTAATTTTCTAGTCTTAAAGTTTAAGGCTAGACACTCCTCTAACAATCAAGTGAAGCATTTGGCACATCTGGTTTTTTAAATGCAAGGACAAGTTTTGTTTGAGTCCACGGACACAGCAGTGGTAAATCCTAATAAAAAATTTTTTAACAGAACCCAGCAGCTCATGATTTGCTACTCCACAGAGCACCAAAACAAGTACAGGTGTGCCCTCTTTTCCATGTCAGAGGATGGGAAACCAATTAATTTCAACTAACTAGGTAAAAAAATTATCTTTACAGACCTCTGTCACCTCTGGATTAATTCATGAAAGCCATAATATGGTTAAGGACCCAGCATATTATAATTGTAAATAAATAAGTACCAATCAACATGTTCACTAACAGCAACTTTTAGACAGCATGGCGAGCAGTAATTCTACAAACATTTCCTCAGCAGCTCAGGCTGGGAAAGCTGGGTTTTCACCCCATCTTTCTCCAGAAGCCTGTCAGTATGGTTTCTGCAAAGCAGCAATTATTTCAGGAGGGAGATAAATAATTAAGTTGTTTTCTTACATACATATTACACATATATTCCCACACATTTAATTTCAAAGATAATCACGTGCCCGAGTATATTCCTCCCACATACATCAAAGTTTTATCCCATTCTTAAATGTAATTTCCTACAAAGCACGTGACGACTTTCAAGTTCTAATTTAGGACTGAATTAGGCCCATACTTGCACACAACACACTGTCTGTGAGGCTGAAGAGCAGTGAACATCACAATCACCGAGTAATTTCGGGGCGGCGCCTTCACAAGGCGTCGAAATTTGTCTCCGTTCATTCGGATAACGGATCTTTTACTAGCCCACTCCATCAGCTGGTTCACTTTTTCTGACAGCACCATCTGAAAATAAAGGGAGAGAAACACTTAGTTGGCTTTTTTTTTCCTTTCCCCAGTCTCACAGCACAATCTTGAAGGTTTTCAGAGTTGCTGTAACAAAAAGCTGCACTGAATTTCATAAGAACAGTGAGCACATAATGTGACACCTCACGAAGAAGACCCTTTTGACAGTCATGTTAGTACTATTGATTTACCTTAACCAGTCAGTATCACACACACTGTAAGCACTTTGCCTTCAGCGTTCCACACGCTGGTGAAGGCTGTCAGCTCACGAGCAGTTTCTCCTGTTGCTGACTGTAAGATGACAGCTGTGCTCTCAGGTGCCCCAGCTGCTCCTCAGCGTTTATCCCGCACCCAGCATCACGCTCAGTTTCACGTTTCCAAACTTGGCAGCAGCAGAATCAACACCGGAGACTGAAGCACTGCAGAAGCGAGCTCAACGCCTGCTTTTCAGCACTGCTGGAAAAACCTGATTCCGTACGTAGCTGGAGGACTCCAGAGCGCTCAACACTAAGCTCTTCTTTTAAAACGAGCCAACCAATTCTGTAACATTTTACAGTGAAACACCAGATAAGCAACAAACCCCCAAACGTTACGTTTGTCACAAACTCCTTCTCTACTCCTTATTAATACCCTTCTTCAGTTAAATACTTTAGGATAAACAACAAACTCCTCTCCCTTGACTTACAACCGGCACAAGCTTATGCAGAGGGGTCTTTTCAAACCCTGGGAGTCGCGCGCGGGGAAATAAGTGACATCTTTGTCGCTACAACCGAATGCGCCCCCCCAAATCCCACG